TGTGGGGTTCGTCCTCAGGCTCTGAAGCAGCACAGACCTCTGCCCAGAGCCTGTGACATGTCTAAGGAAGCCGGCTCAGTCGTCCTCGGCAGCGCCTACCCCTCTGGCTCCATCCAGGGGCTCGAATCAGTCCCCGGAGATGCTGGGACACAGGCCCGAGGGACAGCCACCGACAGGTCCATGCCTGGGAGCAGGGCAGTCCCGCCAACCACGGGTCCTGGGCCGGAGGCCCGGCTCTGCCACTCACCACGTGTCCCTGCTGCAGCTCCTGACACTGTGTTTTCTTATCTGCTGAGTGGAGCTTTCTTTGATCCTTCCTACTGGGAGGGTGGGTGGGAGAATTTCAAAAACAAAGCCACGTAACCTGCTCAGAATAGGGAGCCGAACAGAGTAAACACTCAGAATCGGCCTCCCCTCCGAGCACCAGTCCACGCTGGGCTGACCCACTCTCTGCCTCGGGGTTTCTCTCCCGGAACGCCCGCTCCGCAAGCAGATTTCTCATTGTCCTGCCTCCCCTCCTGCCCATCAGACTCCGGCGCTGGGCACGGGGCAGGCCCCACCTGGGCCCCGGGACCTCCTGGCACGTGCAAACGGATCTACGTAGTTAACTTGTTTGGAGGCGGGACCCTCCAGGTCGCTGGGTCTCTAGCCACCCTTGCACCTCTGACCTGGTCAGTGCCAGGGACACCACCCCGCCCCCCGCCCGCACCCCCCAGCACCACCGACCTCCCACACCGACAGGAAGGCAGCCCAAGTCCCCGGTGAGCTGTGTCTATCGATCCGTTCCCAGACTCCAACACAGAGATATCGCATCTCCCTCCGTAACCTCCCTTCTCATTTTCTAAGCATCGCACTGCGTTCTCCTGGGAACAGAGCAAGGAGCGGGCTCCTCCGTCCACACTACTCCTTCCATCACTCCAGACGGTCCCTTGGTGGGACCTCAACAGCACTCACCAACTATGTCACCAAATCGCCAAATATGTCCCCGTGTTTGCCCCCTCTTTTGTGGGGAGAGCCCAGGAAGACCTGAGTCGGGGGGCAGGTCTAGACCCACCTGCCCACACTTAGGGCCTGGCTTTGCCCGCAGAGGGACACATGCCTTCCCTGTGCCCGATTTCACGTGCCCACCTGCTGTCCTGTCGCGTGCGGGGGGGATGACAGCTGTAAAATCATCTGTCATTTTTATACCCAGGCCATCACCTCTGAACTCTTTAATGATTCGAACCCTCACAAAACCCTCTCCAACAGAAGAGCACGCCAATTCATTTCCCCTTATCTGAGGATTCCTCCAGGAAAGACAAGCCCTGGGGATTTGAGGCCTCCATTGTCATCGCTAATCCCACTTCTCACTGGAGCCGGTTGCTCATCCCTGGAGCAGAGACTTTCCTGAGAACCCGAAGTCACCAGAACCCGGTCCGGGGCGGATTGACAATGCGGTAATTATCCCCGTGCCCTTCGGAGCCATTCAGCCCGTCTCGTGGTGTCTGCAGGCAGGCCGGCCCGGAATGCAAATAATATGATTGCTTTCATTAAATCATCTTTTTTTTAATGACCGCCTCATTCCAGTAATTAAGCCTTTGCTCATGTATTCTATGAAGCAGGCGGAGCGTTACACTAATGATGGCCTGCATTCATTTCTGAAAAACGGGGGTGGGATTGAAATCACCTGCTTCTGAACACGTGAGCACTGGGGAGAGAAAGAAGACGAAGAAAAAAGACGCTAGGTATAATTTCGATTCATGTAAACTAATTAGCATTCATTGTTTTTATTCCATCTTCCCCACCTGAAAAGTCACCGTAGGGGATATTAGCGGATTTCAATTCGTCTTTTTTTTTTTTTGGCATACCTTTGGGGTTGTTACCCGAGAGAGAGAGCCTGCAGGTCTTTAATCATCACAATGAGAGAGAAGGAGTCTGAACCTCACCTGTTACTCCCGAGGCGCGTTCCCCAGTCCAGGTCGGCAGGCAGGCGTGTAGGCGTGTGTGTGTGTGTGTGTGTGTGTGTGTGTGTGTGTGTGTGTGTGAACGCACTGCGTCGCGCCTCCACACCGCCAGAGCCGTCAGATATCCACGTCTCATGGCAATAGCCTCAAAAAGCTCGTTGGGATGGTCAGTGGCTGAATTCAATGGAAGTCTCAGCTTAACAAACAGTGCCTCGCCCTAGCTGGTGTTGCTCAGTGGGTAGAGCGTCGGCCTGCAGACTGAAAGATCCCAGGTTCGATTCCGGTCAAGGGCACATGCCAGGGCTGTGGATCCCCAATAGGGGGCGTGCAGGAGGCAGCCGATCAGTGATTCTCTCTCATCATGTTTCTATCTCTCACCCTTCCTCTCTGAAATCAATAGAAAAATATATTCTAAAAAATT